AAGTAAGAGGGATGACACTCATGAGGCCAGCACAGTCACAGTACCAGACCCTGACAAGGACATTACAGGAAAGGACCTTGCTGGACAAGCTTTCTCATGAACACAGTTGCAAACATATGAAATACTAGCAATTGAAAGCTTAGAGTACATAAAAGAGATAATGAAGTATGACTAAGTCAAAAGAGATTACTTAAAAAATGCAAGTTAGAATTTCTGTTCAAATCATCTATATAATTCATCACATTAATCAAACAGCAGAGAAATCATATCATCTCTAAAAGATGCTGAAATATCTGCTAAAAATAATGCCTTTTCATACTAAAACTCTAGCAAACTGGGAATGGAGGACCAGGAATATAGCTTAGTGGCACAAGTGCCTGCCTGGCAAGCACAAGGTCCTGAGTTTGATTCCCGGTACCAAAAAACAAACAAAAAAACCCTGGGAATGGAAGAGATCCATCCATAAGCAGATATAGAGGCTCCTGTTAGAAACAAATACAAGAGCAAACAAGTGGAAGAAAGCCCTGTTAGAAAACACAGCGCTTAACAGCAAAGGGCGAAATGGACAGCGAAAGCTGCTATCACCACTGTCTGCCAACATGCTCAGAAGTCCCCGCCACTTCAGTAAACCATGCAAGGGAAACGCATGCAAGGCATTCCGATTGGGAAGGAAGGAATAAATCTGTCATTATTTATGAATGATATGATATTCTGTGCTGAAAGTCTAAATCAGTCTACCAATAATTAGAATATCTGAGCTTAGCAAGGTTTCTGGATACAAAACCAAAAGTCAAAAATAAATTGCTGCCAGGTGTGGTGGTGCACACCTGTGATTCCAGCACTCAGGAGGCTGAGGCAGGAGGATCATTGCGAGTTTGAGGCCAAACTCAGCTACAAAGTGAGATCAAGGCCAGCCTGAACTGCATAGTGAGACCTGTCTCACTATGAGTCTGTCTCAAAAAGACAAGAAAAAAATTGCTTTCTGAAATCACAAAATGTCTCAAAAAGACATTGCTTTCTGAAATTGCTTTCTGAAATCACAAAATCAAAGCTATTCACAAAAGTGCTACTATCAGATGGCCTCACATGTATCTACTAAAATATACACAAGCTCCTGCACACAAAATGTAACAACTTAAGAGAAGACTTTTTAAAAATCTAAACAAATATTTAATACTAGAAATAATATTATACAAATGTCAAGTCTTTGCAATTTGATCCACAGAATCAGTGCAATACCAGAGAAAATCCCAAAGATCTGTGGAGAGTAACAACTGATTCTAAAATTTCAGTGAAAAATTAAAGTGCCAAAATAGGAAAGATTTATATTGCTAGGCACAGCCTCACACCCAAGCTGCGGTAATTAAAAGCATTTGGTGCCGAGGGGCAAGGACAGCACAGGGCCGGCACCGGCCGGCTGGCGGAGGGCAGATGCAAATGCAGGGGTCACCCTCTAACTCACATGGACAGGGAGGGTGCAGGGCCCACTGCCTGTGCCCACAAGGAAACCCCGCAGCATCCCAGTAGCCCCCTGTGTACGGGAGTTCCTGGCAAAACAGAAGATGACAGATGACGAGAGAATGTATTCCTGAGTTTGAAGGTTCCCTTTTTCTTTCTTTAGGATACTGGGTACTTACACTGAGCTACATCTTCAGCCTTTTTTTTTTTTAAATCTTGAGACAGAGTCTCACTTAGTTCCCCAGATAGAGCTAGACCTTTTTGAGCCTCCGGCCTCAGCCTGCCGAGTGGTGGGATTACAGGTGTGCTCCACCAAGCCAGCTTGGAAAAGGTTTCTTGAACACAACACAAGCACACAGAGAATGCTGAGAAATCTGGCCACAGGAGAACAAGAACACGTGTCCTCTGCCTCCACCATTCAGACAGCCAAAGGCACTGCCCTCAGTGGAGAAGAGGCTCACAGCATGTGTACTGACAAAGGACTGGGCTCCCGAAGACGAGAAAACCAGCATCATACTGAGACAAGGGAGACAGCTCAGCAGAGGTGAGAAGAAATCTGAATGACCACATCACAGACAGGGAACACCCACTAGGCAACAGCACGTGAAAACATGCCGTATCTCATTGCTAACAAGGCGCCAGCAGGTATCACCACATCACTGCATTTACAAGGACTGACACAGCAGGTGCTGGTGAGGACAGGATGGGCAACAGGAACTCTCCTGTAGGCGTGGCGGGAGCTGCACTTGTTACAACTACCCTGCAAGCTTGTAGGCACTGTGCATGCCCTAAAGCTCAGCAGTTCCTCCTCACAAGGGTCCACTCAACAGAAAGTACACAGCAGCTAATGCTCAGCCAGAAACCAATACAAGCACCCACCAGTTACAGAACAGCAAAATATGCTGGTGTGTTCAGAGATGCAACAGAAAGCAGTAGGAACAGGGAAGGAACATGCAAACATGAAATGGTATGAATTTCACAAGCTTACTATGAATGGAAGAAGCAAGACACAGAAGCTTATGTATTAATGGTTCCATTTATATACATTTCAAAAGCAGCCAAATTCACCTGTGCTAGAGGTCAGGAGGAAAGTGACTTCAGTAAGAAAAGAGTGCTCAGTGGCTGCTGATGCCTGGCGCTGTGTGCTTTGCCGGAAGAGGATACCAGGTGGCACAAGTTGGTTGATAATTCCCTAGTAGCTCCCCATAGCTCCCCATTCCTTGCTGTGCACATACACCACATAAACAAGCAAAGTGAAATAACTGACTTTACAAGAATGTATTAAGCATACAGCATTTTATGTTGCTGTGCATTATTATAGGTTAAAATGTCAGCAAAAGCTTGTAATGATTTGTCTACATGGCTGGCCACTCTCACTATTGGAAGATGAGGGGTTTCTGAGATTTGTCCATGCTGAATCTTAAATACGAAGTGCCTGCTGGCAGAGACAACTCCCCATGTCACCTGCTGCTTGTTGCATCAGCAGGGCAGGGACATGGAGTGGGGCAGGAGAGTCCCTCACTGGTCACCCAGTGTGTATCCCACAGTGGCTGCAAAAGCAACACTGGCTCACATGATGGACTGAAAATCCTGGCTGACAATGGCGGAGGACTGGCAAATGTCACCTCTAGCATGCTCCTCCCACAGACCTTCCACTCCCAGGCAAACCATCACCTCCACTGCCCATGGGCTCAGTTCATGTGACTGGCAAACCCTGGCGCCTCTACCCCACCAGGCCAAGCTCCCCTGCCCCTTATCAGCGTGATCCCAGCGACAGCCCTCAAGATCCCCACTTCATCCTCCCCCAGCACAGCGGTCAGGCTGGGCCCTACGCAAGGCAGTCTGACCCCGGCCCCTTCTGCTCTGCACTCTGCTCCATCTCAGAGGAAGAATCCCCCGGTTCCTGTGATGGCCCTAGGGCCCACTGGCCTACCTCAACTGCATGGCAAGGGCCCTCCTTAGGGCCCAAGCTCTCCTGCCCCCTGCAGAAGGCTGTTCTTAGGCTAGGAGCCCCACCTAGCCCCTCCCTCCCCACTTCCTCGGGTGTAAACTGCTGCTGGTTTAAACTTCAACAGGTGCAAGCAGCTTAGAAAACAGTCTTGCTCCACCTGGTGGGACGGCCTTTCAATGTGCCAACCAGTTGGGTTCCTCCTGTCATCCTGTCAAATGCTCGTTAGGTGCCACAAGGAATGTCCTCTGGATGTGATTAGAGTGGAGACAGCCTCGACTTAAGGTCACTTGTGTTGGCTTGACTCTACCAGACCTGAGGCTCTGTGCAGTGACAAAGAAATTCACTTGGGCAGCAGGCTGAGAGTTTCAGGCTGTGCCTTCTGAAGGCCTAACTCTCTGACCACCTGAGTATCTGAAGACCTGATCATCTGATGGCCTTGGTATGGGAAGGCCTGAACACTGACACTGAGCCACGCAACTATCTGATGGCCTGTTCCTGCCCACCTGAGGGCCCACCTACCCAACAGCTGGTTGCTTAGATTCCAGACTTGCCTCACTAGCCTTATATCACGGAAGGCAAGTCCTTGCAGTAAACCTATCTGTTTCTGTCTCCTACTTGTCTTCTCCTCTGGCTGGACTGGACTGCTAACTCACAAGGCAGGTCAATGCATGTCCTGCACATAGCACACAGTAGCCCTGCTAAGAGCCACTTTTGGGAACACACAAAGGGAAACACCCCGAGAATGGGGAAACAAAGTGTGATAGTCATCTACAGACCCACAGTGCTGAGGAAATGAATGAGTGATGCCACGTCGGCACTGTGCCATGAGGGTGAGCACTAGAACCAAGAGGAAGGCGAAAAGCCTGCTAATTCTGTGATACTAAGACGAGGCTAGGTGTGTAAGGGAAAAATACACTGTTTTAGGACCAAGAACACTACCTGTGATGAAAACTTGGAGTGAAGCAGGTCCTCTGCGAAGGTAGGGGATGGGGCACCAGGTCAGGGTGTCTGCAGGACCCTCACAGGGAACCTGAGAGTCTCTTCATTAATTGTCAGGCAAATGCCCCTGAATTTATGTTCCCGTACACCTCACATGTGTTTTATGTCATTATTTATATGTTCAATATTAAGAATTTTGACAGGTAAAGTTTTCAAGAAGTTTTAAGGCCATGAGAGTCCCACCAAGGAGTCTTTAAATGGTTCCCTCAAACCAAAAGCGCTGGCTGTGCCCATGCTCTGGTGTTCATATGGAATTTGGCAGCTGCGGACAACAGAGCCAGGGACTGCTGCCTTAACTCCGCTGACTCGAGCCTTCAGCAGGGCTGAGGCTGCTGTGTGATGAGGAAATCCTCAGGGGCTGGGGAGGAGGGCCCGAGACAGTGACACAGAGGGCGCTCACACACTCCTGCCAGGGCAGGGCCCCAAAGAGTGGCTTCTGGGGAGCCAGCAGGGCCACAGGGGTGAGTGGCATGTGGAGGCCTCACCCTAGCTGCCGCCTCTCTCTGCCCACCTCCCCATCCCAGGCCAAGCTGTGTGCCACTGCTTGGCCCTCCCTGCCCACCCTCGCCCTCCAGGCCCGCTCCGCACTCACTCTCCTTGCCCTTCTCCTTGTTCTTGAGCTGCTGCAGCTTCTGCTCGCGGTGCTGCTTCTCCAGCTCCTGCTCCTGGCGGTGCCTCTCCAGCTTGCGCTGGTGCTCCAGCAGCTCCTGCTGGTGCTTGAGAGCCAGCATCTCCTGCTGCTGCTGTGGGCAGAGGGGACATGGATGTCAGAGCCTAGGGACCTGCCACACTGGAGCCAGCACCCACCCATCTGCCCTGGTGCTCTGCAGGCACGGCTAGGTCTCTCGGCCTGCATGTCTAAGGAGGCCCCAGAGCAGGAAGGAGAACACCTGAGGTGACATGTGCCCAACCCCTCTGTCATCAGATGAGAGTACAGAGGAGCAGCAGCTACTGTGCAGGGCGGGAGCCCTGAGCGGTGGGAACAGGGGTACCCACTCGGGATGAGCACTGGACATTTTCTTAGGATGTGGGACACCTGTCCCAAGACCCGCAAATCTATCTTAGGAGGTCTCCAAGTGCACAGTCCACAGAGGAAGTACCTGCACACACATCCCCCATGGCCCTCCTGTATGCAAGCAACCCAAGGGGACTGGGGACAAGTGTATTCTCATGAGAGAGGCTGCCCTGCCACAACACAACACTCAAACACCGATAAATCATCATCAGGCAAGCTCCACAGGGCCAGGGCTGGTATCAGGTGCGTAGATGAGGGCACGGAGGTGTGAGTACTGAGATAGTCTGTCAACCCCAACGTGTGATGCTGTTTCAAAAGGCAGCCGCTCCTGGTGACCAGACAGGACCCAGGAGGCGCCCCCCTGGCAACTGGGCCATGGCATGTAAGGCCTCCCCATGGAGAGTTGGCAGGTGGTGCAAAACTGTCTAAGTTTTGCACACCCACACCTGTTGTGTAGATATTACCTCTGATTGTCTCAAACACAACATGCTTGAAGACCCAAAAGTTTGAACTGTCATTATGACAAACATCATCAGGTTACAAAGGTAACAGAAAAACTCTTCCCGGTATTTACAATATACAGATAAACGAAACCCATAAATGGTTTGAAAAATTTATAAGAATATGATAAACAACCCACTAAAGAGGCAAACAAACAAGAATTCCCCAAAGTGGTCAAAATGAAATGGGAAAAATGTTCAGGCTCACTAGTCACCAAATCCACCATGCTGGGACATGAGGCAGAAAGCAATGCCACCCAGCTTTGCCCCAGTCCAGGATGTGGCTGCCCAGGGCCTCCACCACCTCCTTACAGGGGCTGGTTGCTCCACTCAGCTGGGTGCTGTCATTCTCCGGTGCTCACTGAGCTCACAGCAGTGATTCTCAGGGGGCTCTGCTGGCCTTGCTCCCTCGGGGACGGCAGAGGGCATGGCAGGGAGCAGTGGGCTGACCACAAGCCACAGGACTTTCTGTGGAGGAATCCAATGCACAAGCACCCTCCTCCTCCTTTCGAGCTAAGACTGGTGGCGGTGCACTCTTATAATACCAGCAGGGACGGGTGGACTCTAAGGTTCAGCCCAATCTGGACAACTCAGCAGCTCAGTAAGACCTTATCCCCCCCGCCCCCCAAAAAAGCCCCGGGTTCAAGCCCAGTACCACCACCAAAAAAAAGTCCTTTCAGTCAGTCACAAGTAGGGCACCAACCAAAAGTGGCCCAGAGAAGCGTGCGAACAGCGTCCCCGAGGGCTCCAATGAGTGCTTTACACTGAGAACTGCGTCCTCACAAAAGCGTCAGTAGGTGACTTACAAAGGAGGGAACTGAGGCACAGAGAGACAAAGTTCCTGTTGGTGAGAGTCTGGGCAGATGGACTGGCTGCAGAATGCGGCAAGAGAAGCAGGTGTGGTGAGCAGCCATCTGATCTGCGCACGAGTGTGCAACCTCGTACGCAGGAGTATAAGTGCACACGTGAGAAGTGTGTGTACAGACAGCTGTCGGGGCTGGTGTGCTGGCAGTGCACGTAAGTCCATGTGTGGTCTGTGCATGAGTGTGTGAAGGAGCTGCCCTCCTTGCTGGACCCTGGTCCTCACAGTGGCCTTTGGTGAGACCCACAGGGCCAACTATGCACCCAGGGACATCTCCTGGGTCTGAAGGGTCACCCTGGTAAGGGCCAAGCTGACCTTTGAGCTCTGTGCATCATGCCACACCTACCTGGCCAGACTCGGGCGGCTGGTGGTTGACCAGGGCCTGACCCAGGTGCTCAACATGCACCTCTCAACCCCACACTTCCGAGGGCCATGGCCTGGCCTGAACCATTCCGTGGCAGGAGGCCTGCAGGCAAATGAGGGGCCATCACTAGGGCACTGGTCAGCTTCCTGACCCCATGTCCACAGAGGCCCTTGGTTACCCAGCTTCCTCTGGTTAGAGATGTGAGACACCACTTACCCAGCACGTCTGTGGCTTCATAGACTTAAAGTTACAGGGTATCAACAATGAGAAGAAAAATGACAGTGACTGTGGGATTTTCTAAGGTAAACATTCTGCCAGCCCCAGAGTAAATCTTATAGCACAGGCATGAACACAGGTGTGAGAGCCAGAGAAATGACTTTTAGGGAAATAGAAGAAACCAGCAATAACAACAGATAAGCAAAATCAACACAACTGCCAAGGTAGCTGTGCAGTGCGGGGAAGGATGTGTGGGAATCCCAAGGCCACAGCACCTTCTATAGACAACTTGGGGTGAAGGCAGGACCCCCACCCCTAGCAGAGGCCCCGGCTCCAGCCTCCTCAGCCCTTGACCTGCAGAGGTAACCTCCTGGAATCACTGCCCCAGGGCTATGTAGTATCCTGGTGCCATACTGCACCGCACTGTACCACATGCGGTGGGAGCCCAGGGACAGGACCTGGCATGGGAGCCAGGAGGCAGCTGGACTGCAGCAGTGAGCCCATGTCCATCTAGAACTGGACCTGGTGCTCAATGCATTAAGTCTCACAACCTTGTACCACTAATAGTAACTTTCCTTGAAGACACTCAGGGAGTTTTTATGACATTATCTCAGTTACTTCTCAGAGGCCCAATTACCCTTCTTTGCCAGAACATAGTTTTTAATAGAGTGAGGAAAATAAACAAGCAGTCAGCCCTGGGTGTGGGGAAACATGCTGCTGACCAGTGGAAACATGCTATTTGGCCAGTTTTTGATGGAACATTTGGGACTAAACTGTCATCCTCTGTGGGTTCCAGGATCTGGAATCATTTCCATCCTTACTCACTAGATCAACTGGCTCAAATGAAAAAGACACCTTCATTTCAGCACACTGACAACCTCCCGTCTCCCTTCACCACATGACCAGTGGTGACCAGCACCCCTGGACCTCTCTTTTGCTGCTGCCACCTGAGGGTTCACAAGTGTCACAAAGACAAGCAGGTGCATCCTTCACATCAAGGTCCATGAGAGGAAGGTCTATACTGGAGGCTGCTGTCCAGAGCTGGAGTGCCAGTCTGTGCAGGCATGACTGCAGTGCCTGTGGACACTCCTAGGGGTGTGGATAAAGCACCACTGGGGTGCAGGGCAGGGCGATGATAGAGAGGTGGGAAGAGGCTGGGGAGGCTGCACAGTTGCTGTGGTGATGGGGCCTTCCGGGCCCCACCCATCTCCAAGGGTTCAAGTCCAGCTTTTAGCTTCACCTTGGTCTGCATGCTCGAGAAGATGGCACGTCTGCCCTTCCCCTCCATGCCAGGAGATTTGGGCCTCATTATCCCAGCACACAGCTCTCTCCATGAACCAAGCAGTGGCAGTGAGAGCCAGCCAGGAGCAGGCTGGACAAAGTCAGCTTGCAAGTCTCCCAGTCCCACAGCCCGGTTACTGCAGCGCACAAACTTCTATCTTTGGAAACAGACAGAAGCCCCTCCTGATCTGCAGAAACTGCAGCTAGAAAAGAGGGCAGTACCACGAACAGAGCAGGAAACATGAGGTCGAATCTCTCTCATAAGCCACAAGCACCCAGTGGCAAAGTGGGAGGATCGAGGGTGATGCGGCAGTGGCCATTGGGGCTCTTGGCAGCAGGTGGAGCTGTGCCAGTCATGGAGGGTTCAAACGTGGGATGGTTTAGCATGAGTTCTCTGAGCCCAGGCCCCAAGCAGGGAACAGGGGCCCTGCTGGCTTTGGCCTCAGCCATGACGTCCCTAGATGTCAGCATCAGGAGGCACTGAGGTGAGTCCTACAGTGTATTAACACCCGGCCTAGGTGACCAGCCTGGGCCACATCTCCTGGGACAGGTAATGAAGAGGGTACACATCACAGCCACAGCCAGGTTACCGTCACTGTAGCCCTCTCCATGGAAGGAAGAGAGACATAGGATCAACCATGCAGCTAGCACCACTCTTCTCTACATGCAGCATAGGAGACATACACACTGGCAGACACACACACACACACACACACACACACACACACACACACCCGCCCACCCTACCTACATCAAAAAAAGGACATGCAGATCAGAACCATGGCTCAATCAGTTTTACTTTTTCATGTTAGACCAGAAAGATCCTGTAGACTGGGGAAGGGAAGGAACATACTACTAGCAGCTTTAACATTTTGGGGGACATTTGGCAAGATGATTTAAAATGTGTAAAACCCATGCAATGTTTTCTGGGGAAGGAAATTATTCTCAGACAATTGGGTGGGTGGATCAAGAGCGACCCAAGGACAGTGGTGATAGTCAGGTCTGCAAGTGGGAGTCTTAGCTAGACAGCTGTGGGGCCACCAGAGCTCCATGGGGCAAGCACTAAGAAGATCCCTACCGCACCACTGCTCCTGCTATGTGGACAGGGAGGCTATGAGGGGTTTGGGCTCCCCCCCACAGGGTGCCAGGGTCATGAGATGCAGTACCAAGAGCCAGCTGCACCTTCCAGGCCTGGCCCACAGGGCCTAGCTGGGGGACAGGACCCTGCTTAAGATGGGTGGTCTGGGAAGTGCATACCTGGGGTGAAGATCCCCAAGCTTTGGCTTCCATGAAGAAGGTGTCATGACAGCAGATGCCTACAAGCAACTTTTATCAATGGACAAGGTGACTGCTCAGCCCATGGTTCCACCAGGAAGTGGAAGGAAGCTACAGAGCACTACATAGAACCAGAATCCCACACAGGAGCACACGGGGGCCACAGAGGCTCTCCAGCCCACTCTGCTTATCACCTCAGCAAGGTGAGGTGTCCTGAGACCTTACCTGTG